CGAGGCCACCTCCCACAGACAGAGCCGTAGACAGAGACAGACAATACACTTGATCCCATCCATAAAAATCTGACAAAGTTATATGACCTAGGTTCCATCCCATCTCTCACTCACTCCAGGCTAGTACGTACGAGGCTTAGCGCCCACAACGCTAGCTGGCAGAGACATAGATCTCAATTCCTGTAGCATAATACACAACACGATTCACACATGTTCCATTCCTAGTGCTACTGACATCAGGCTTATAACATTTAACAACACCTTACTTTCTCGCGGCTCCGGCTTACTTTTAGCCTTATCCATGCCCTCTATACCAGCAAAACGCAAGCCCGAGGCTGCCGAAGAAGCTGATACTCCCTTCAAGCGAGCACAACGTACGCGCAAACCTACGCTCAAGGCGCTGTTGGGTGACGGCAGCCAGCCAACCCAGCCGATAGAGCTGCCAGAAAGTACGCCGGATCCGCCTACAGAGCCGCCTACACAAGTTATCGAGCCGCCCACACGGGCTATTGAACCGCCATGTAAGCCTGTACAACAACCCGAGGAGCGCCCTCGGCGGGCATCACCACTGCCTATTTTGGCTGCCTCACAAGCCTCTCGGCTCACTGATGAGCCAGCCTGGGAGTCGCAGTTAATGTTTGATAAGCCAGAGGACTCTATTGTACAGCCTTTAGCTTTCTCTAGCGCTGCCACTGAGGCTTCGGTGGAGGAGGATAGCGCTGTGAGCGTCGATTTTCGCGACTTTGAGGGCGTCGATTGGTCGCGATTAAAGGGGTTTGTCGCGCCGCTGAGCACTCCACGAGGCAAGGCAAGCTGGATTTTTCAACACGGCTGGCGTGTCTGGAAGGAGGGTACTCACCACCCAGATGAGTTGTACTTTGTGTGCAAGTACTGTCATATTCATAAGCTACCTAATGGTGTACACCGAGTAACGAAGTCAACCACTGCCGCCAACGGGCACCTCCAGCTTGATAAACCTGGTCATCGGCTCAGCAAAGACGGTCCAATCCTAAGCAAACCTCTCCGCAAACATGGACAACAATCACTTCGTCAGGCAGCTCTAAGCGGTGTCAAATTTAGTCTAGAGGCGTACAAGACTATAGGAAACTTCGACGTACAAGAATTTCGGCAAGCAGCTGCGCTCTGGCTGGTCGACAACAACAGACCACTCCGCGAGTTTGAGACGCCGGCTTTTCGCAAGATGATCAGGCTTGCTAATCCTGAGGCAGAGGCGGCGTTATGGAGGTCTCATAACAGCGTGTCAGCGTTCGTGATGAGGTTGTACAGTTGGCTACGACCTCAGGTGGTGCGCGCGTTGGCTGAAGCCGAGAGCAAGGTACATATAAGCTTCGATGGGTGGACGACAAAAGGCGGCAAACGTGGCTTCTTTTCTGTAGTTGCTCACTACGCCAACAGTAAGGGCGCGATAGTTGACCTACCCATCGCGCTGCCGCAGCTGGTGGGTGCCCACACTGGTGAGGCGATAGCTGACGCTGTAACCAAAATCCCTGCAATCCTTCAGCATTAATCGCAGCAAACTCGGCTACTTTGTGCTCGATAACGCTTACAATAACGACACCGCTGTTAACAAACTCGCCGCGATGTACCACTTTTCTGCCTCCGATCGCCGCCTCCGCTGCGCTTGCCACATACTTAACCTTGTTGGCCAAACGATTATGTTCGGGAGGGATGCTGACGCGTATAACAACGCCCTGGAGAACACAAAGATGGAGGATTTTTACATGAAGGAGTGGCGGAAAGAAGGACCGCTTGGCGTGTATCTTGATATTATCAACTACATCAACCCGCCGAAGCAGTGGAGCATTTTTGAAGATTGCCAACGCGAGGCAGTTAACAGCATGCCCACAGGCGCCAGCGGCGGCACTCGCGAGCCAATTAAGCCGTGTGTTACACGTTGGAACAGCTATTACGACTGCTTTAAGCGCGGAGTTCAGCTCCAACAAGCTATCAACGCATACGCCACGTACCACATTCGCGAGACTGAACAGGCTGACGAACAGGCAGCTATTAGAGGAAACAAGCTGCCTGATGTGCCGCGGTGGATGAGGTCAGACGGCCTTACGGCGGCTGACTGGGCGGTGATTACTGAGTACATGGCGATACTGCAGCCGCTCAAGTTTGCTACAGATCGCCTCCAAGGCCGCGGCAAGTGTGGCCGTTTTGGCGCACTCTACGAGGTCATCCCAGTATTTGAGAGTGTGATAACTGAGCTGGATGCACGCCTTCGGCCATACGAATCGGTCAACCACGAGCCATCTGAGGCGCCCGAAAATCACATCCCGATCAACCTGCGAGCCGCGAGGCGAAAAGCGAGCAATTACTTTACTAAGATCCTCCAAAGTCCCATTTACTACGCAGCTACGGCACTACATCCACGATATAAAACATACTCTAAGCGCTTCTGGCGCGACAAACCTACACAATTGAGCACCGCGCACGCGAAGTTTCTGCGGGTTTGGGCTGCCTACAAGCCTGCCGCTGCTGCCACAACACCAACCCCTGCGCCAAAACCTACCATGAGCAGCTTTGACGACGCTATCGACGCTATACTAGATGAGGACGGCGAGCATACAATGGAGGTGGAGGATGAGTACGATAGCTGGTTAAAAGAGCCTATATGGACGTCTGATCAACACAAGGAGGGTCCAACAGCTGTACAGTACTGGTTATCGTTGAAGCCGAAGTATCCACATCTTTCACGATTGGCGATCGACGTGTTGACTATACCCGCCTCCAGCTCTGATTGTGAGCGCGTTTTTGCGGGAACTGGCGATATAATTGAGCCACAAAGGCGGAAAATTGGCGCGCAGTTACTGGCTGCTTTGGTGTGCTTGCAACGGTGGACTCGTGCAGGTTTTACAACACCAAGCACGACAACAGCAGCAAAGCATACTGATGAGGAGCTCACGGAAGAGTTTGCGATAGGAACGTGGGAAGAGCCGCCTGCAGAATTGTCATAGAAACGTCCCTTCAGAACCTTAAGTCTATCAATATTCAATCAATCAAGCAACCAAAAATTGGCTCTTCAGTCTCATCAACTCAAACAAACAAACTGTAACCCTAAGAAATGAGCTAATCAATCAACATCTACGCCTCAAATGTTGGTTGTTATTGGAACAAGGTCTCCTCTGGTGGTATGACTACCATAGGCGACCGAGTAGAGGTACGAAAGGTAACCCTGTATTGGATTGAACTTCACTAAGAGCTATTGTTCTATCTACTTGTTGTTATGATGATCTTAGGACGTACATGACAGATCATCATTCCGCGTCGGTCCTTCTGCTCGGGCTTACTCCACGAACCTCACCTCGCCGACCTGGACTGAACCTAACATATTCTTAACAGTTGTTTTGTTTGTTGACTTCTCTGCTTACAATGACACCAGGGCACTAGCGTGGTCCGTGCTAGGGCACTAGGGCTCTAGGCACTAAGGCTCTAAACTATTATAATAGCGCGTATGCGCTGGCGATAGTCACTAATTAGAGTAAGTTAGCCTTACCTGCACCTATCTTCTTCGCTTACAATAGTGGAGAAGGCATGTCACAGTAGACGCGGGCTTGATAAGCTTATTTCATACAAGTCGATTCTTATTGAGCCGAACAATGTTGGCTTTGAAACAGAGGGTATTTGAGATCCGCCGATACGTCTTGGAGCTCTCCCATTAACCCAGCACAGCCACTTCAACCTAAACCGCAACAATTAATTTGTATTCTTAAACTTTACTATGCTACTACAAACCCTAAGCCTATATGCGTTTTCTGCTTTCGCGGCAGTTGCGCAAGGCGTGAATATTCCACTAGATGCACGGCAAGAGTACAAAACTGCGTATTACGCACAAAAGTGCCAAACGGTTGAAGATCACTGGTGTTGGCAAGCCGGGTTACCCAAAGAGCAGACACATACAGTCGGTTACACGTGTTCGGTCTATTCGTAAGAAGAATCCAATGTCTAACCCCGAACGCTCTATTAACCTGTGAAAAGAGCCGCAAAAGGCGGAAGCTCGCTTGGACCTATGTGCGAGGAAAGTTCGATTGCGACTTGTCCATGTCCCGATGGTTCTCGGGGTGTATGGCTCGCAGCGTAAGCATTGTCTTCATACCCGAACGTTTTATAGCTACAATTACTGACAGAAAGAAAGTAATTATCAGGATTACAGGTGCGGCTGTGGTAAACCGAAGTTTTAAACAGGGCATGGCCAGAGGGTGAGCTGATGCTGGGTATACGTACGCTGGTGACATCGTGTCAGCGTGAGCACAGGCAATGATCAGGATGATTGTTACGGATCCATAGACCCAGTCCATGGCCCCCATATCGATAAGATCCTTATCTTATCGTACTACGAACCCATATTCGGGTCTACAACGTAAATAGCTCCATAGCTTGTATCTTGTCAAATCCAATCTTTCTCCTCTCTCCCGATCGATCCCTCACAGGTATAATATTAAGGTGCTTATCTAATATAGGCTAGCTAACTGTCGCACACTATTTGATTAGCACTAGCGTGCTATGTCAACACCCTTTTCGGGCGAAGAACTCAGATCAGCGCATTCGCCAGATCACAGACCTGGAATCGTTAGAGACCAATGGATTGAGGCTGGCGGAACCGCGTAGATCACTAGCGGAGCATGGCGGAGTGTCATATGATGGGTCTTTTCCTCATCTTTGCGATATCTCTTGCACCCGAGTACTGGTTCGAGAAGTTGCGATGCTTAATGCTAGTGAGCGCAAATGCATGATCATCTAGAGTCTGTGGTCGAGAGCAGAAACATGGTGCTTCCCTGAACCTGCCCAACTTCCCTCACACGTGAGAACACTGATATTTGTCTGTACTTCTGCATCTAAATTGCAAAATACAATATCTATGCCAATGCTTTGTGTACACAGGACCTTCTACCCCAAGCGGCCGGTTTGTTGATTGATGCAGCCTCGCCCAAATGACCAAGCGTTGGGCTGGAATGAGGGATCAGGTTCCACTATCTTCACTTTGAAGGATATGGTATATCGACTTTCCTATTCGTCGTTCGTGCATGGTCTTCCACAATCCTATTGACCATCTGACGACCGTAAGCCACAGATTCAACCTCGTCTACAACTAAAGAGACCCAGACTTTGGCGTTGCCGCTTTGCAAACACACTTCTTTTCCGTCTTGCAATAGCCGCGCAATTCGCTCTTCAGTCCGAGCAGTACCACCCAAGCCAAATAGTCGCGATATGTGCATGAACAAGATGGCGAATACTTGGTAGCCAAGCCAAAGGTACTGGGTGTTGGGGTCCATCCATAAGAGGGCAATAAGTCCAGCTGGAAAGTAAAGAATGAATACGTATATCAGTATGATGCCGCAAACCTCTCGAAATCTATCGTAGTGCGTCTCACGAAGGGGGTGTCCGTAGTGTCTGAAAAAGGGCAGAATGAGCGCGGCTTGCCCTTTGAGTAAAACGAAGCCTATACTGGGAGAGAGAACTTCGTATATCTCCGTCGGCTCTGCGTCAGCCTCTGAAGTAGCCCTGGCTATATCACCCGATCTTTGCAGTAGTCGTGTAGACGTTGGGTTTTGGTGTGGCTCTGGGAGCGGCACCAATGTTTCGCGACGAACCGCTACTAACAGAGAAATGAACTTCACCACCAGCGGAAGAACAAGTAGCCCCGATAGCCAGAAGGCCCTTTGCCATGTACCAATGATCACAGCGAAGACGATGGTGCTCAGCTCGCTGAACACGACGCCTAGAATTGTGTCCATGGTCACTTCGTCCTCGCAAACGCTCACAACATTTCCGTCGGAGCCAGTCAACTTGTCCGAAAATGAAAGAGTAAAAAGCAACTGCTTTGCTCTACTCATCGGTGGCTGTTTCGGCAACGACTCGTTCGATCCCCATCGCCTGTCGTGGTATGCGCATTGTTCTCTTCCTCCCTGATCTATCATCTTCAGGACCTCCACCCAAAACCCATTGCGAATCTCATGGTCCCCATCGCTAGTAGTGCGATTGATGTAATCGGCCTTGTTGTTGTGGTAAAATGCTGTCCCCAGCATATGTCCCCGCCTTGCCCCCCGGTACAACCCATTCTCTCTGATGGCGTCTAGGGTCTCAAGGGCGGCTTTGTGCAACGGGCCGCCCATGGGCATCGTCAGCGCGCTGAGGAATAGGGTTCGCGGGGTGGCATAGTTGTAGAATCGCGGGGCCCAGAGTAGCCGCTCGAAGGCGGTGGGCTCGGCGACTTCGGCGCCCACGTAACCGATGACAGAGCCAAGAGCGCCTGCAACCGCTGTCATGTTGCTGGTTCTTCGTGATGCTCGCGGAAGATAGTGCGATGCATCGAAATGGGGAATTTGGGAAGATATTACAATTATAGCCAATAGCCAAAACTAAAGGGATCACCGCGACGACATGTGAGAGCTGCGCCATCTGCGCGTCAGCAACTGCAGTGCCTGGGGCTGCTAAGCCTTCTCAGCAGCCACCACATAGGCCGGTGGTTGCGACTGGATCTGAGTGAGTATCTTGCGTAATCTGTTATAGCACAACCTGGATGCTGACCTTTCCTCGAGCTCTAAATCTCCTTATGCAGCCTCAGCGAGTCGCGAAACGAAGTTGACTGCCTGGGTTGTGCACGCCCTAGATAACCGGTGGTGAATCGAGCTGAACCGATACCACGTCGCCTGCAGGCAGACGAGAAGTGTATCGCTACCGGCTTGATTTTCTCCAAAGTACATACATTGATTCTGCACTGGTTTGCAGCCATGCAGCCACGCGGTGGCGGCGGTGCCGCGGATGCGACTGCTTTTTCAACATTCCGCCACCAGAATTCCTTCTGACAATAACTGCACGACACCATCTTCTTGGTGGTAACGAGGTCGATCGCCAGGCATTTTTCCCATCCATGTCTCGAAAACGCCGTCGTCGCTTGGCTGATCCTATTCTAGGCGTAGTAACGCGCACACGGTAACATCGTGTGCGTGGTTGGGAGGAAGCTGTAAGGCGTGTCGGGAGCATGTTCAACACTGTGGTGCATTAGATGTAAGCGAGCAGGACTAGTTATGCTCGTGGGTTTACTAATATGTGGGGAGACGGTGGGATCTTCAGGCAAAGCTGAGGTCATAGGCGATAATATGTGCTCTTAAGATCCGGGTACACAAAACAGGTGGGGGCGCAAGGCTGACATCGGGAGACTCACGAAAGATAAAACCGTGCTTGACAAGGCCGAAGCCTTGCGAAACGTCTACCTAAGGTCAAAGAACTCCAAGTTCTTGATTAAAGTAAGTGCACCTTCATTTATCCGTGGCGTGATCAATTGTAGAAGAGCGTTTGGAAGTGCTTACTCTCACTGCGATTCATTATGTGCTTCCACGTTATGGACAGGAGGCAATTATGAGCTTGCTAATGGTTCACCGGTCTTCGCTGGCAACACTTCCAAGAATGCTGCGCCTCCATGCTGCATTCTAGCGAGACGCAAGGCAAATGCACAAATAGGTGGGGCAAAGTTCGTGCCTAGGCAAACTGAGGGCTTACTATACGTTACGCCTCGTAATTGGCAGACCGCCTCAGACCACATGTTCATGACGATGTCCGTTGTGATACCAACTCACTTCAACCACTTAAAAGGGGTTTCCCGCGCAGCCACAAGGTCCTTCATATGCAGCAACTCCAGCATCTTCTCGTCATCTTGCAGCTACCAAGTGTTCAGCACGCTTCATTGGCCTTTCTCTAGCGAACTTTGTTGCCCTCTACAGCCTCCCATCGCTGCAATCCTTCGGACACCCGTCAAAGTCTTCCCATGGCTTACTGGTTAAGTTCAAAGTTCAGCCAGAGCTCCTTCTCTGATGCTGCTTCTTATCGATATCCGTATCCAATAAGCGATATGCCACCGCTTCTGCAAGGAAATGGTGCGATTCCCTCGTTCTCGGAACAGACTTCGATTCTGAGTGCTTTGGGCACACTCATCGGCTACATCGGAGCGGAGGCTGCGACTGACCAGGTTTTCGAACGTCTGCTATGGCCACAAAGGTTCTGGAATGGCTTCAGTATATACCATGCGCTTCAAGTGGCAATGTTCATGCCAATGGGCGGTCCCCTCCACCGAGCTGCTTTACATACGCTAGACAAGTTCTTTGAGAATGGGCTCTTCAAAGGAGATAAGATGGGACATATGCTGGGCACCGCCTTTTTCAGAAACTCCGGATGGTCTTATGCTGTCTGGTACAATGGTCAACAAGAGTCGACGGAACTTGTACGCAACGGACTGTGGATTCGAGCGGCTTCACTTCTACCCATCCCAATTGAGAAGCAGCAAAAGGGCCTCGAAACTGGACGACCAGTCAGAGCAAGGACTACACTAAACACGTTGGTCCTGGATTATACCACCAGTCCATTGCCTAAGAAGGATAACGCTGTATCGCAAGAGACCAAGGGACTATCATTGAAGATCTTCTTTGCCCTTCTGGTGTCTGAGTTTAGTGGCGTTTTAGCAGGCGTAACCGTTGCGGTGGTATGGAGATCTTGGTTCGCCTGGCTTTGGTTCGCCCCGCTTCTTTTGAAATGGAACAGTGCAATATTCGCCGTTGCAAGAGAGGATCTTGCTCCCAAAGTAGTGCCAAGCGCTCCAGCGGCAACAGAGCGCACCAAACTATTCGAAATCCTTCACCCACAACAGGGCATATTCCTGATCGAGGGCAATGAATCTACCGTTCTCCAGTTCTTCAGACACTACGGACACCCAGTCAGAAGTCGGACACGGGAGCGTGCGCAATTCGCCATCATCATCTGCTTTGGACTCATGTTCCCAGTTGGACTCGTCAGCTCTATTATCTGGATGCCGACGTCGATGCAGTACCTGTGGTTAGGTTATCAACTTTACGCTACGCTCGCAATGTACGTATACCGGTATACGAACAGTCACATTTGGGCAACGACCGAAGAGGCCTTGGCGGCTAAGTTCAAGGAGGCGGGTTTTAAGCGCTCAACTGAGAAATCTGCTAAAGCGGAGCCAATCTATCTAGACGGCGGAAATGGCAACATTTTGTCAGCAACGTTGATGACTACGTATCACAATAGTTTCGGGTCAGCTAGGGACGCGGCTAAAGCACATCTCCAATCGACTACATCCGTACCGAGAAAGACGTCTAGAGAATCTTCCAAGACACTCAGTCCGTCGGACTTGGACTCAGTCAACCCATCTGATAATTGGAGGACGTCGCTTGAAAAGGAGTAGCTGATCGCGTAAAGTCTATATCTTTGGTACCAGAACGGCCGTACGAATAACTTGGGGCGTTTGCGAGTGCGAAACAGCGCGTGCTCGCCTGATCAACACAGTATGGGATATAATTCGCCCTTATCATAGTCTTTTCGTGTTCAGCGGATAGTTTTCTTCGTGATTGTAACGGTTTGGGCCTTGCCAAGATCCACTTGAGTGAGAGTTGGGTACGGCTATCGCTACCACACTTTCTCATCACACACACCTATATAGCTGCAGTTCCTCAATAGCTACACAATGCAACGCAGTCCTCCTCCTCTCCTCACCTCGTTACAGTAATTCAACTATCACACTCTCGACTGCTACACGTCCTTTTGCGCAATCTCCGTTCACTAATCCTAAGCGCGCCCGAAGACTTACTGTGCCTAACATAGATGCTACGAGAACCCTATGAAACGCTAGCTATCATACCCTAGTACTATCAAATTATCACTGCAGTATGAAGTTCTAGGCTATCTGAATATTGCTAATTTTATCGAGATATTGAAAGGTTAGCTGGGACTCTGAATATCACGTCTTGGATATTCTACCTACAACTACTTGGATCGACTTTAGGAACAAGCTGCACTACAAAGAGTATCCTACAATGGACGAAAGTAACCTTAGGTGCAGTATCGAACCAAAAAAGCCACTCTCCCTTCCTATCCAATCCAAAAGGCAGATCTGTTTTGTCATGTTGGTTCGCCGTTACACTGCATGATGCTTTACTCGATGCTTCTTCTAGATGGCCGTCTTATCTTGTGGCTGTAGGTCAGCGTGGGCTCTGTGTTACGTGAACACGAATCACGCTGCTGTGTAACACAGAGCCTTGTAGTCAATGGCTGTCATCAGTGCGAGGGCTTAGCTCTACGGCACGCGATCGGTCACCAACCAGTCTCGTCGCGACACCCAACTAAAAACTGCGTTCGAAAGCTAACGTGAGATCTGTTTCGACCTCCAGAATAACATCCCATCGAGCAATCAAGCACACCAACCACGCTACCGGAACGGATGGTCATCCAACTACAGGAACTTGGCGTTGTTGGGTTGAATCGGAACGATCCAATGCGTCTTTACGCTACTGCCATGTCGCGGAAACCAAGCAGGGAGCAGGATTGCATTTACGTGATCCAGCAGATCTTTGATCTACGTTTAGGCGAAACAAATCCCTGCAATAAGCGTACCTCGTATGCTCCGGAGCAACTAGAGGATGAGCTGGGCGAAGCATTGATGCGGGACAGGCCTGTGATGAGTCAAAATTTCGTGCACACCAGTGCCACACTATCAATCGGTAAACGATGGCGACTGTCTATTCACCTCGAAAACCCTACAATGCCTTTCGATTACGATACCCCTGGTCATATTCCCTTTATCAACCTCGATGTAAGCTTAGCACAAGACAAGCGGGTGATATTCTTTGCGGGTGGTTCGGAGGAAGCGTATGCGATTTTGCTGCATTACAACAGACTTGGCAATCTAGAAGTCTCAACCCCTCAAACTTCCAACCAACAAAGCAACCAATAGTGATTATACAGCTCGACGCCTGGTCAGAACTGTTCATGCGCATTCCGGTGTGGCAAATCCCGTCTGCCGGGCCTGGCGTGGCAGCAGATGAGGCCTTGTCTCTACAAACTGCAAAACTCATCGTGGAGTACATAGATCCAGCTGCAAATCTTGACTGCGACGACCACAGATGTTTGAAGGTACTGCGCCTTAGGGAACACCAAAGCGCAAAGAATGGATGCCATGTGGGCATCATGCTGTTCCGCAGCGTACATAAGCCGCTGGACATCTGGAGACGAGTTGGAATCTGCGCATGGCTTGGACTTTTCTCTGGTAACTACGGACCTCCGGTAGATTTGTCAGGCCAACTTGCCATTACCTCATCACAAGATGTGCATGGGAAGATGCCACTCACTCCAGCGTTCAGGGAAGTCATTCCGAAGGTAGACGTCGTCGTATTCGATAGAATGCATAATGCGATTTCATGCGATGGTGACGCGTGGTTTCCTCTGTCTGGTTACTTCGGTTAGATGACAGAACGATGGTGCGAGATGGTGCGGCGTATATGCCTTTCGGGTATCAGCAGAATATTCCATGAGTCACAATTTGCCTGACATATAAGCTAGAATGACAGCGAATTTTACCGATTATCTTTGATCTCAAACTATCCGACATTCGAAGTCATGATACGGTGGTAGTAGGTAATGTAGAGACTCGTCGTTAGAGTCATGGTACGTCTCGGTCCATCGCATAAGGCCTATGCGCTCCCACTCCATAGGCTCAGCAATTCGATGATATTCCAAATCGCTCTTATGTCTTCTGCCTCTATCCGGCAGTTGCACATGTTCAAGAACGCGAGGGACAACTACAACCCCCACGTAGTCCACCACTGGAAAATTATGCCTGAATCCAGATCCCAGAAGCGCGACCTGCAAAGCTGGACATGCACTACTGGAGTGAGTCATGCCACAGTAAGTTTCATGTAGCACGTGGAACGCATTTGACATTGTCTCGTGGTCATCAAAGTAATCGACGACGTGGCCCAGAACAGCGCTCGAAACGTGATGATCGAGCATCAGGCCTCGGTATTTCTGGGGAAATCCTGGGGTTAGGGCCATGAAAAGATGCTTCTGGTCTTTGAGGGCATTCCTCGATGAGTGTGGACATGAAAACTCAACAAAAGCACCTAAGTACCGCGCCTGGCCTTTGAAACTTAACACCAAGTCATTGGCATTGCTTTGACACTCTGCTGGTATCTCAAATGTAGTAAAATCATTCCTCGTGGAGAATTCGGATGAGAAAACTTGTCAGAAGATGTCATCGGCCTTGATATCCTGTGTGATCAGCCAGCTTCTCCAAGGGCGTTCCTTGTGTAAGGTGTGAATAAAGAGCTGAGATAGAACCGGAGCTTTGGTAATCAGCTTCATTCCAAATTCGTCCTGAAGCGCTCGTAGCTTCGAGGAATTATCATCACCGGCGGGATCGGGATTGCAGCTGATTCCATAGGTCTGGATTATGCCGAAGATACGGTCCAAGGGTTTCATGGCACGCCGATATTGAGCCATGGAATATGCCGAGTTCGGGATTCCAACATTGAGAACAGTCAGCCCTTTTTCTACTTGCCAGTCCAGCAGGCCTTGTAACGTCTTCAAGAGGCCCGTAATCCGGCTTTGGTCTTCCGGAGGTGCAGCGTCACAGGACGCTGGAGCCTCCATGATCTCCACACCTTGTAGGGTTGCAATTCTTTTCCAATCGGTCAGAACCATCTTCCGTGACAAGGCGTTGTTCTTGACCCTTATTAAACTCCAAGGGTGAGATTGATCGCTGGTTTCGCTACGCGCTTGGACGTCGTCGTGGTTCTCGTCGAAGAACAGAAGTCCGTCATCAAATAGTATCCATGCGTCCGAACGCAGAACCATCTCCTGTAGTGTCTAAAGAGACATGAGCCACGGATGCCTCAGCCATTTGCTCATCCACTTTTCTAATCCATGCACCTTATGCTCCAAGTCGATCAAAAGGCCCAGCGCTTCTTGTGCGTCGTGCGGCTTCTTGTAAAAAAGCGTTCATAGCAATTACGACGTCCTCAAATCTGATCTTTTTTTGGTCTCCTTCGAGTAGATCAGTCGCGTCGAAGGAAGAGAACCAAACGAAAGCTTCTTCTGCTCGCTGGAAGATTTTGTAACAGTGCAAGCAGTGAGAGAAAGATGCTGTGCAAAGGCTGATGTATTCTTCTGTGTGTTCTACTATGGTGATCGCCTTTTATAGGGCCATTACAATGGTCTGTTTACATGACGTATCTATGACACGGATAGGTGTAGAAGGTGCTCATCAAGATGAGGAGAAACCATCTCTCTACCACGTGGCATCTAGGATGTCCTTACCTCATGAGCCGTCACAGATTTCGACCTGTCTTCCGATCTCCTGATCACGGACGTCCTTTGATTGTTTGCTTTCGTCGTTGTGTTCCTGTGGGATACACGCTACATCGACCCATAACCACTCGCATGCATGCTTGACGCCCCTGGCAGCAGACTTTATGGTATTTTGAAATGTTTCCACCATGAAATGACTTCTCTTGATCCCAGGAATTGGCCAGTCTATACCATAGACTGGAATAGGAGTCTCATTTTCGTCTTTGTAATACCCCCATGTGTAGCTCAGAACGTTGTACCGAGGCGCCTCGATGCCGCTGTAGCTATTCCGGTCTTGTCTGATATGTGATCTCATCGAAGCGACGTGTAAGAGCCTGTGTGGCCATACATCTCCCAATATCAAAGCTAGCTGGTTGCTTGGTGCACGATTTGCCCATGGATTCGGCGGCGCGGGCGGCGGAGGCGGAGGCGGAGGAGGAGGAGGAGAAGGTGGATACAACGGTGGAGTAGAGGAGTTGGCAGGACGATGAGAAGCGGGGCTGGGTAGTACGCCCTGTGCTCTTCTCCACTTCCCGATATCAGAAATCATGGCTTAACAACAACACCCTCCAAACTTGGTACAGCGATAGTAGTGTGCGCAAGAATGAAGATGTCCTTCCGTAGCGTCGAGAGTAAGGCTGGTATGCAAGGAGCGGACATGATCCTGCTGAGATGCAGTTGGTCGCTTTTGGCGATAGCCACTCGCGATCACTGGACAGCCCAAGCCGAGACATAGAGTGCCTCGTTGACCCCACCTGCGTCGGCATACCTTGGACAATTCCACTGGCGAGGCCACGTTCTACAATGACTCCGTAAACAGATAGGCAGCTTTGCAGCGTTTGGATTATATCCTTCTCTTTTCTTCGGGTGCACAATTCTTATACCATAACACCACGTCGTTGGATTCCGAACGTGAACGCAGGGCTGCACTGCCTGGGATCGTCATCGGAATCATTGAAGTCGGTATGATTAATCCCGCGAGCATACCTTCAAGGACCATACATGCAATATACTTAAAACGGATAGATGTTGATATCTAATGATCCCGATCAAACTACCGATCGATAAGATTAGTATTTCGTTGCGCGACGAGGACCTACCTAGGGTCGAGCTTCTAGGAACAACAGGACCAGGTTGAGCAAAGCTAGCTAGCTGTACCAATAGAGATTGTGTCGCGCAACACGGTCACGCGCATTGCAGATTCCACGACTGCTCTATAGTCAACGTTCATTCGCGGCTCGGAGCTGTTAAGGAAACCTGTGGTGGCGTGGAGTGTTCGGAATCCTTGCGCACGGGCTGATTCTCAAAATCCAACTGAAAGTAGGGGTTTTGGCTCTGGCTAGAAATTAATCCTGATCACTTCGTCTCTGGACGCTCTCTCCGCTGAAGGGCCTTAATAGCTTGTACAAGATTCTCCACAAACATGACCACGTTCAAATTCCTACTTTCTCGTCGTCTACACCATCCTCGAATGGCCCATTGGCTGGAAGTATGAGCTTTGCCGAGATCTTGATCATGCAGGTGTCGCCGCGATTGCCTCACACATTCGCTTTAGATAGGCGTCGCACGCTCATATGCGTATTTACCTCATTCGCTTTCTCTAGCAGCGGTGCATGTAGTATGCAGAGTCTGCAAGGTTGATTTTGACCAATCTCGATCAAGAAAGATCTATATCTGACAAACTAGAAGCGCAAGCCGTCTTTGGGGGCCGCGTTCTCCAAGTTGTTCGCCTTCAGTCATTGGGGGGGACGTGCCGCTATCGATGCGCCTGCTGCGGAGGACGCTGCATTATCCACTGTGCGCCTGAAATCGAGTGACTGAGAACCTATCGCAACAGAGGGCAACACAGGGCGGAGTAGACGCGGCTTTAGGCGTCAATACATGCACCGAACCCATACAGGCGGGGGAATCAGTAGGCTGTAGCCTCGTCTCTGTTGCCCTATTGATCTTGAACCATTTATAACCATGCTCCGAACTTTTGCCAACTTGAGTTCTTTTCTTTCCTCTCTACACTTTACAACTTGATCGAGAATGTCACGAGAAATCGCAGGACCACAATGGGGACCGCTTCCGGAGGACGAAGAGCTGGATCTGTTTCGAGCCATACTGGATGGAGACGACGAAGAACCTGATCAGACCAGTAAACGATTCGATCTGATTCGTTCCGCAATGCCTTTTGAAAACACTCGTCTGCCACGTTCAGGTTATACCAACGACAGTGGACAGCCCGTCTCATGTGCTTTACCGCAAGATGCTGGTTTCAGTAGGAATCCTCCTGATATCGGCGACTGGCCCCGTCGGCTCTTGCATGTCCCGACCATGACCTCAGTGGAATGGGTGGGCAATGATTCTTACAGCTACCCGATCAAGGATGGTGATCGGGTATTGGGGTGGGAATCTGCGCATGCACCGAAATATCACGCGATATCGTATACGTGGGGACGCTGTTGGAAGGTCTATAGCACTAGTGCTGAAAGGAAATAACGATAACTAGGAATGCATTCTGTTCGGTGATGGTGATTGATTTATTACGAACACAGCTGCTACGAAGGTATACCTAAGCTCTGCGCAAGGTGGGCCGAAGTCGGGCCGAAGTGTCCAGCAGCCGACGTCTCTACCGATACTCACGATCCGACAGACGCTATATTATCAAAAAACCTGACAAACATGACCGAGAAAGTTTCCGACGATGGAAAAAACTTCCGGCGCTAAAGGTCAATAACATCCCTTGGGATATACCGCGCGTCAAGGCCGAGTACATCACCGTTAAGGACTTTCAAGCAGTGATAAAAGCGGCCTCTCAATCTTTATCTACAGGGCGAGTAGACTTCGTTTGGTTGGATGTCGCATGCATCAGCCAGGAAGACAACGATTCGGATAAGAACTTGGAGATCGGAAGGCAAGCCAGCATTTTTACAAAAGCAGAGGCTGTCGTGATATGGCTTCATCAACAGTCTTCGACAGACCTCTCCAACTCCTTACAAAATCTGATGGCGCCAGAGAATGACCTCTCGCGCCTACACACTACCGTTGACTGGTTCCTCGCAGACAAATGGTTCAGTTCTCTCTGGACATATCAAGAGGCTTATCTCAGTCAAGACTGTGCTTGGTTTTCATCACGATCAGGAGAAGTTAATCCATCTGTTTCCCTCTCTCAACTCGTCACTCGATGCGCGAGGATTGGAGCAGACTTGGAACAACACTTTGCCAGTGTTGTATATTCCACCCCACCGTCGCGTATCCGCGACCAGAAGTTCAGAGAGGAGATCTACCAGATGCTTAGTGATCACGGTATTCTCGCTCTGGCACAGCGCAGCCCCTTCGCTCTCTACAGCGCCAGCTGGGGAAGGCAAACTCAGAAAGACTATGATAGAATCTATGGCATCCAGCAAGTCTTCCGATTTCGGGTCGGAACATCAGTAGAAGGGTCAGACCCGGACGCAAAATACACCCTCTTAACACTCGAAGCTCAGCTTGGACGCCTGTTGTTGGAAAATGAGCCCGTGAAAAGTCAATTACATGTCTTCGAGGAACCGGTAATGCAGGGCTGTGGATGGCACATCAGCCCCACATCTCGCATCCCTCAATGGGGCTTCCCTCGGCCATTGCTTGAATACCAGTTTACCCGTTTTTGCTCTTTGAGCGCGTACGACGGGTCTATAGGAGGCCAGTCAACCGTGATAGCCCAATACACTAGCTATCTCCAAGAACTATCCTCCCTCCAGGCACGGTGGCGAAATGCTGACGAGAGACATCTCACCGGCTCATCAGAATTTCGGAGCGTGCACAAAATCTCACTAGACGTAGTTAAGTCGAGCCTGCCAGTACCGGGTGAGAAGCCAGAATATAGAACATGGGGACATAGACGAGATGATCTGTCTGGCTTCTATCAACATCAGCTTTCGGCGTGGCTGGGAGCACAGGCTAGTGCTGCAACGATCACTGTACTGCTTCTCGGCGAATTCCATGTCGAGACTGTTGGTAAGCACTATTGCGGTATGTTACTCCAGAACGAAGGTTGTGGGAGGCCTAGAAGAAGAATTGGTGTGTGCGCATGGAGAGCAGAGGCCACTGGAGCATGGGCTTCCCAGCAATCCGGCACTTTCGTCTAGGTTGTCAAATAAATCGCTTCCACGATAGGAAGGACCTGCCAAATTGACCAGACGCAATGTTATCTTGATGCTGAACCGAGTAATCCATCGCTTTTCCGCGTGTGGTCATCACATCGCTGTATTGCAAGCTTTCATTAATACCCTACAATGAATGTAACTGTCGATTACTGTGATCAGTATTGTGTGACAGTCGCACAGAGGAGATCAATATCCGCAGCAAGCAGGCATCTCAGCATGTTCAATCCCTCAAATCGACCCTATCTTGATTTAAGAATGGATACTTCCTTCTTTTAGCAACTCAAGATGCTGTGGGTAGTTGCGATTCAATCTACGTCAGCTGCTTGCTGAGTTTGCTTCTCGTATGCTAGGTTTTCTCCTTCGAAGGCCGATAGCTCCAACAGCCGCTGTAGTCATCGTCGTGCCAAGCAGAATAATAAGAGTGCGCCACTTTCCAACACCGTAGCTAGAGTCTATCTTCGTGGACTCGGAGCTCTGGAGGACTGCCGCAGCAATATAGCCAGAAATGACACCCACGACACCTCTGGTGAACAGCAGCACTCCAGAAACAAAGAGCTCTTCAGCTGGGTGGTTGCTGTCGTTTACAAATATGGCGGCTATATGGCTTCGCAAAACCATGAAGCTGAAGGCAAATGCACCGAATAGAAGCGATACGATGACCATAGTCCAATAGGCTTTACCCAAGCCCCAGACGACAAGCACAGCGAAGCTACTGATAAGGGTGCTGAGAATCATGGGTACTAGAGGTCCAATAGAGTCTGTCACGGTTTGGGGTCTCTCCTGCTCTGCTCCTGCAGTCGCAACTTACCTTTGTAATGGAATGATGCCTATCTGGGACTAGCGCTGTTGACGGTCACCCACCTACATATACAGTTTGTAGACTCAGACAATACAACCTCAGTTCAATCCTTCAATTCTTCCAGCACCCACTATTCCCACACTTTCTCGTGGTTGAGAGTCACCACAAGATTGCGACGACTCTTGGCGCCTATCGTGGATTGGTATCAGGATTCTACTTGTACAGTCTGCTCAAAAGCGCGGTTTTTCAAGACTCATGAACGATACAGCAAACTTTTACTGCACGAGGCAACTACGGTAAAGACCGGAGCAGATGGGTACTGCGTATGGGCGTTCATGATGTTTATGGGAAGGTATGGGACTCCCGTGACTATGGGTCTACCCGGAAGGTATATTGCTAAACATCAAGACGGTATCGACTCACCGTATTAGATATCAACGCTAGATGGAAACCATACCATAAGCACTGGTGCTTGAGTTATATTGTCACGTACAAGAGTTGGTGCAGATCGAAGATCCAGACAAGTGTGAAGTACCGAGTAGAGTGAAAAGGCATAGTGTATATGCTTTGCTGTTTGGAGACGTTAGGAATATATTTCTCAACCCAGATTCGGTGAACATGGAGATACTATAGAAGGCGCGACGCTGCAGACTTGGCGATGGTAACTTGGTACCATCCAGACTTGTCAACAATCAAGCGGCTTGCAAGCGCTTAATTGATAGCTTGATAACTATCAATCCCATCAAGTTAAGCTCGCTTATAATAATTTTTTTAGCAATCCAAGCTGAGGAGGGTCAGCTTGATCGTTCAGCTTGATAGGCTTGATTAAGGTGGCGCGTAAGGCTGCTCGTTTTGCAGCAGGAGCGATTTCACGATAGGTTTGTAGTGTTGTAGTCGTCGCAGTACTAGTACGTTATTAGCCTAACTATTAGTAGGACTGTAGCACTAGTGCTGAAAGGAAATAACGATAACTAGGAATGCATTCTGTTCGGTGATGGTTCTGATTTATTCTCGTGCGAAGGGGAACTATGGAAGAGCTAGATATAGGAGGTCTGGTCTGAGCGCTGCTCGGACGCCGCGATCAGTGCGCCTGTCCGCGTGACTGATATCAGTGCGCCTGCTCGCGTGACCGAGATTAGTGCGGCCGATCGCGTGGCTGAGATATCGTTGATATCTGTGATCCGACACTAACTTCTGTATCCTACTATCACGTCACTTTTTTTGCTTCCGTCGCCCTTATCATATTTCCATCACTATGCCTCCTACGAAACGCGCCTCTGATGACCTTACTCGCCCCAAAAAAACGCGTTAAATCGTCCACCGCCCGCGGCACTGTTAGCCAGCCTATAGCTGTTAATAGTTAGCTATCGCCTCGCAGAGCTCTCGTAGAGGCGTCCTAGGCTTCAACTTTTAAGTCGCAACTACGCGAGTCGCGGCCTAAAGACGCTATTGTCGCGCCTACTAAGGGCAGCGAGAGGGTAACAGCAGCCTCGTCGGCAGTAGCCCTAGACAATAAGACCTTGTAAGAGGCTCTAGACGCGAGCCTTATAGACGACTTTAAGGGAATTAATTAGGGGCGTTTACGCATATATATAAAGCCGCTCTCGTCGTAGAAGTCGCGCAAGAGCTAGATCTATTGTCTCACCGCTGAGAGAGCGGTGTGGCAATGTGGTGGTAATGAAGTAACCAATGTATTTCTGTGTGTGTGTGTCTAGGTGGCCCTATATAGGGTAACCAGAAGGCTATGTTTACATGACGTATCTATGATACGATTGAGTGTAGAAAGTGCGGACCAAGATGAGGGAGGAGCACCAGGACCAACACGTGGTAAGTGAGGTGCTCTTACCCAAGGCACATCTGGCCGGTAACATATTGCTATAGCTACCGCGTTACGCTGCTAAAGGACCTAAGTAAGCTATACTTCGTGTGCCGTTACTGCTACGAGCATAAGTACACAGATACCGGCGTTAGGATATATAAGACGACGCTCTTAACGTCGTCAGCGCAGCGACACTTAGAGCTGCCTAAGCGCGGCTATAGCTACAGCAAGTCGGCCGTCGCTGCAAAACCTACCTAGCTACAACGTCTACTTAAGGACGGCAACAATAGCGTGTCGCAGAAGGTCGCTAACGAGCTCGCTAGCTTTAATACCTAGCGCTTCCGGCTAGTAGCTGTTAGCTAGCTTATTAAGAACAATTACCCTTGTCAGATAGCAGGGTTACTCGACGTTGGCAGCAACCAATCAGCGTAGAGAGGGTCAGTGCGCCCCTCAAGAGGGCCACAAGCGCGGACACACGATAGACAGAACACAATACACACAATCATCAACATCCATCACTTTTGTGCAATATCTCATTATATCTGACAACCCTCTCTCTAAGTTTAAAACACTAGCTTTTCGACGCCTCCTTAAAGCTGCTAACCTACTAGCAGAACGAGCGCTCTAGACGTCTTATATAAGCGTCTGTCATGGATCAAACCCGCGACCTCTAGTAAGCGAGGTGGCCCGTGCGCCTTAAGCGAAGGCCACAGCCGAACACCAAAGTTCGACCCGCGCAGGTCTTCGAACCTGCACGCAATATCTCACTTAGTACTTAATACAGATACGGTCATCTCAACTATTGACGTCCCTCACACTATATTGCGTCTACCATACGGTACCTAGGACACGCGCGGAAAGTGACCGCACCGAAGAACTCAGCGCGCAATCAGTATTGCTCGTGACAGCAACCCCGCAACCCCGCGGCTGAGACGGCGACAACTCGTCCCCCATCTTCGGTCACAGACCCGCATCAGGATAGCTCGCGCGCCGCCAACTGGGACTTTGAGGCTCTGTTATACGACTGCGGAGTGGAACTCAATTGTCATTGGCCCTCGTACGCGCGCGATACAAGCTATTGTGCTGACAGCGGAAGGCGTGTTGTGCTAGAAGCCCATCATCGAAGGACGTTGCCAGTACCGCGTCGCGATTGAGAGTATCGCGATTGCACTGGAACGATTGCGACGGTATCGCATCACCTTGGTGACTGGTAGACGGTTTGGCTCACCGCTTTACTTCGAGCAAGGAGTCAGGAGTGTGACAGCAAATAATCAGCTGTGCTCCCCGCCCACATTTGACGCACTCTCTCACAATCATAACCACTCTCTTTCTCCACCTACATTAACCACACCCAACACCTTAAATGTTTAGAACTATCAACGCCATTAGCGACAACGTCTCTACCGGCGGCCGCCACCCCCGCCGATCTAGCGACATGCAGCCTCCTCCACAGCCCAGCGTGACTGACTTCCCTATTGGCCGCAAGAAGCGCAAAGACAAAGCGCCCGCGACCCCCCGCAGCCAAGACTCCAGCCGCGAGCGACCTAAGGATACTGCATCCGACACCCAACAAACTATTAGCCAAGGCCCCGCTCCTAAGCATGAGCCTGTTCGTCGATCCGAACCAGGCCGTCGAAGCACCTTCGGCTACCCCGCACTTCCAGTTACAGAAGGAGACAGCCAAGAGCCCACAATGGTACCACACGACCCTGCCGACATCTACGATGTTATAGTTGGCAGTTGTCGACTCCAATCCCTCAGAAACAAGAACGTCTTGTCTGCCAAGATTACTCACTCTGAGTTCACGTTCATCACTATTGTACAAAACGAGACTGAGGATGAATTTGAGCTGTACCTAGGCCGAGAATCTCCCCTGGAAGAATTCCAAGTCCCCGTCTGCACTGACGACGACTTATTGGAGCTAGCCACTTCAAACACCGCGTTCCTGCGCTCTCTAGCTATTGAGCTCATGAAGTTCGCCGCTGCTTGCGCTCCTATCCTGGACGCGAACATCGATGCAATAACCAAGGAAGCTCACGAAGCCGCTGTTAACCGCTTACGCCTTCGCATCACTAAGGCTGAAGCTAAGCTTAGCTGGTACGAGAAGGAAGTCTCAAAGCTGACTGAGACTATTGAGACTACTAATGCTGAGTTGGAACACACCAACCGAGAGCGTAATGAGCTTAAGCTAGAGGTCGAGCGCTTTTATCGTCCTTCATCCTCCAAGACCGCCGGTTGCACTAACCCTACTCACCAAGACTGGTATGAGGACTGGAAACACGAAGAAGCGCAGTCCATTAAGTTCCACGGCCTGTACGAGGAGTTCTTCAGGAAGCACCAGGAAGAGCGCGCCCGCGCAGACCGCTATCACCAGCAGCGCGCAGAACGCGACGCCGACTACGAAGATGTGGTCGCCCAGAACTGCGCACTTGAAGAACAACTTGTCCAAGCTACTGAGAATACCCGCAAGCTAGAGACCTCTCTAACTCAGCAACAGCGTGAGTACAATGACGTTGTTGCGCGCCTTCAGCGATATGATCATAACTTCCGCCCGTACACCTTGCAGCGTCGCGAGGACCGCGGTCGTAACAGTCATCTATCTACTCAGCGCAACCGACGACACGAGTCACCTGAGCGCCGTACAGATCGCCGCACTGCATCACCTAACCCGTATCCTAGCCGACAAGCCACTCCTGTTGTTACTCGGCCTGCGCCTCGCCCTCGCGGCGACTCTCACTCAAGATCGCGCTCCCGCTCCCGCCGAGATCGCGCGAATCCGTTGAACCAAGATCCTCACCGATATATCCCCTCCTCCATACAACGGCCAGCAATCAGTACAACAGGCAGCGTCCACAGTTGGAGGTCTAAGCCTTTCCTTTAAGCTCCCCGACATTGAAGTCTGGAAAGGCAACGATGATACCAAGAACTACGACAAGTGGCGTCGGTCAGCCATCCAGAAGTGCGAATCTCTGCCTGAAGACAAGCAATTGGCCTACTTGAGATGAAGGTGGACGGCGCAGCATGGCATATATTGACGATCTCAGTCG